AACTTGATGCTAAGTCCAACAAATGTGCCTTTGTTGGTTACGGCGGTGATGAGTTCGGTTACCAATTTTGGGACTATGAAAATCGGAAGATCATTAGAAGCAGAGATGTCATTTTCAATGAGAATGTGATGTACAAAGATAGGTCAACTGTAGAATCAAGCAGCTCCAATACCAAAGCTGAAATAAAGGAATTTGCTGAGTTTGAGGAGATTTCTGGAAATGATGTTCAGATCAGTCCTGAAGCAGTTCAAGAAGAACCAGGCACACCGGAACTAAGACGCTCCTCCAGAATTCCTAAACCAACCCAACGGTATTCTCCTTCTTTGCACTACTTGTTGATGACTGACAATTGTGAACCAGAGTGCTATGATGAAGCAATGCAAGTGGAGGATTCAGTCAAGTGGGAGTCTTCCATGAAAGATAAGATGGACTCGCTTTTGTCAAATCAGACGTGGGAATTAGCTGAATTACCACCATGCAAGAAAACGCTTCACAATAAGTGGATTTATAGTATCAAAGAAGAGCACGATGGGAGCAAACGCTATAAAGCGAGATTGGTTGTCAAAGGTTTTCAGCAAAAAGAAGGTATTGACTACAATGAAATTTTTTCTCCAGTCGTGAAACTGTCTACAATCAGACTGGTGTTGAAAATTGTAGCTGTAGAGAATTTACATCTTGAGCAGTTAGATATAAAGACAGCTTTCCTTCATGGTGATTTGGAGGAAGAAATCTATATGAGGCAGCCAGAAGGCTTCATAGAGGTAGACAAGAAAAACCTGGTATGCAGGTTGAAGAAGAGCTTGTATGATTTAAAACAAGCTCCTAGACAGTGGTACAAGAAGTTCGATAGTTTCATGAGTAGCAGTGGTTTTACCAGATGCCAAGCAGATCATTGTTGCTACATCAAGAGGTTCGACAATAGCTTCATTATTTTATTGTTGTACGTTGATGACATGCTCGTTACAGGCTCAGACATGCAAGAGATTATAAACTTAAAGCAAAAATTGTCAAAGCAGTTTGCTATGAAGGATCTGGGCGCTGCAAAGCAGATTCTTGGGATGAGGATCAAGAGAGACACAAAGTCAGGGACATTGATATTATCACAGGCTGAGTACATCAACAAAGTACTCTCCAGGTTCAACATGCAAGATGCTAAACCAGTAAGTACACCTTTAGGTGTTCATTTCAGACTCTCCAAAGAACAGTCACCAAAGACGGAGGAAGAACGTGCACACATGGTGAAGGTGCCGTACGCCTCAGCGATTGGAAGTCTGATGTATGCCATGGTTTGTACCAGACCAGATATTGCTCAAGCAGTGGGAGCTGTTAGCAGGTACATGAATAATCCGGGCAAGGTACACTGGGAAGCAGTCAAATGGATCCTCAGATATCTGCGGGGTACCACAAACAAAGCACTTTGTTTCAAAGGTGGAGATACGATACTGACAGGCTATGTAGATGCTGACTTAGCCGGAAATGTTGACATCAGAAGGAGCACTACAGGGTATGTCTATACTCTAGGAGGAACCGCAATGAGTTGGGTTTCTCAACTACAGAAGATAGTTGCTCTCTCCACAACTGAAGCAGAATATGTCGCTGTTACGGAAGCTAGCAAGGAGATGGTTTGGCTCCAAAGTTTCTTGGAATAGTTAGGTAAGAAACAAGAAAACAATGTCTTGTATTGCGACAATCAAAGTGCTATACATCTAGCAAAGAATCCGTCTTTTCATTCCAGGACAAAGCACATACAATTGCGATATCATTTTATCCGGTCTCTTCTGGAAGATGAGATTTTGAACTTGAAAAGATCAGTGGAGCTCAAAATCCGGCAGATATGTTGACAAAGACGGTGACTACAAACAAACTGAAGTTGTGTTCAACTTCAGTTGGCATGCTAGAGTAACAAGACTAGAAAAGTTGTTGCATTGATCGAGGTGTGAAGACAGATTAAAATCAGTCTTCAAGTGGGAGATTGTTGAAAGTATTAAAATGGTTTTCAAAGTTTGGTAAATGTTTCTTTGAAAATGGTTTTCAAAATTTGGTAAATGTTTCTTTGAAAATGGTTTTCAAAGTTTGGTAAATGTTTCTTTGAAAAATAGTTTTTCAAAGTTTGGTAGATGTTTGTTGAAAAATGATAATGGGATAATCACAATTAATCCCTAGGTTTTAGGGTATTTACAAGATTAAGTCCTTAAGTTTCAACTATAAATACCCTAGCTCATTTAGCTTCAAAATCATCCCAAAAATCATTTCTTTCTCCCAATACTAGAGAGCTTTCTTGTGAGTAGTGAGTGTTTCGTAAACACCTGTAAATTTTCTCTCTTAGTAAAAGATCTGCAGCAGTCCGGAGACGTAAGCACAATTGGTTGAACTCCGTTATCAATTTCGGGTATTATTTTTCTGCTTTTATTTTACATTCTCACTAATCTGGTTATAGGGAAATTACTTGTACTTGATTTATTTCCCAACATTAAGTTCATGATTATGACGTTTCACCTCATTAATTCAAATCCCACGTAGCATTTTCTGTAGAATTGAAAGTGATTATTAATAATTTTATCAATTAAGGAAGCATGGAAATAATCTATTCGTAGAGGACGACTCGTACCAATAAAGATTATGATCTCTCAAGATGTAGAAACAAGAGCAAAACGTGACTTCATAAATATTTATACTCCATATTTCTATAAAAATAACGTATATAATTATGCATATAGTTAATAAGATTTTAATCGCCTTTATTTAATCATTTAAAACTTTTTGTTGAACGTCTTATTCAATTAATATTATAACGAAAATAAACCTAATATTAATTTATCACTTAGATTATTATTTTTTATCACTTAAGATAAAGTCACGTTTTATCTATGAGGCGATTTTACACGTGCAACTTAAATTAAAATGAAACAAAGAGAATAAAGAACGAAAGTATGTAATATATACATACACATACAAACTTAAAATGTTATATTTAAATATTTAAAAAATCTCATATCTAGATAATATGAAATTTGAGATGCTTTACAAAAATTTACGAACTTCTCGAATAATATATTGTCTAAATATGAAGTTATTCAAAATATTTATTTATTAAGTGATTAAAAAAATTAATATATATAGGTTACCGTTAATATTTGCCTCATGCTATATACGATAGTGTCAATCTAAAAATAATTTTAAACTGATGTTATTTTCAGTATTAATTTTTTGCTAGGTAATATTTGAATAAAAAACTCAAAGATTTGAGATTAATTATTTTTTTTTTGTAGGATGGAAAAGAGCAAACTAATATTATAAATCCAGTGAATCAAATCCATATGTTAGAAACCCGAATACCCGATACATGAATCCGGATCTAATTACTTTCTCTGGTGAATCTAAAGTGGACTCCAGCCTGGAGAAGGCAGAGACTGTGTGGAGATGTGCGGAACTGCGATGAGCTAACCGAGGAACACGCTTTACAAAGCGTTCTAAAAGATGTCCTGGATTTTCGTGTAATGTTGTTGCTTTTAATTTATATCTTACATGTTAAATGTGCGACAAAAGGACAGAGAATAGTTAATGTTTCGGTATTGTAAAAAAAAAAGTTCCAAATTTATTTAATGTGCATCTAGTAAATATCAAAGCACATTATAAAAGTTATTATAGTTTCTATTTAAAGGTAATTATGGTAAATTATCAGATAAAAATGGGTACATGAGGCGTGGGAGTAATTTATGATAATGGCTAATTAAAGATGAGAAAGAGTACGCCGCATGCCATAGCAGGTTTCAGTGGTTTTTGAATCACATGCTGGTACAACAACCGTATACGACATACTAAATTAATTATGCCGAAAATATAAATAATATATTTGTTAGATTTTCACTTTCACTTTTATTTGTGGCATCAACAAAATAAAAGGAATTTCATATCTTAATCTATTCTAAAATAAATAAACAAAATCAATTTAAGACTATGGAATATGAAAAATTAGGTGGGCCCCGATCTTATGAAGGAACATTCGGCATTAACATTGCAGAAATAAAATATGTAACTATAACTGCAATATAGTAGAACAAAATGACCTGCAGAAAAGGCACGACTGACGTGTATAACAATCCAAGTGTAGAAGATGGAGTTCCGGATACAATCGTCATTCTAGTTGAAGAGGCAAAACTTTTGAGATAATTTTGAAAAAAATTAATTCACGAGTTAATACATTCTTAAGATTAATTGTTTAAATAGGTGAAATCTACAGTGTTGGCCGTAGGTCGCCATGTATTCCGGGCGACCTACCCTCGCTCGGCTTTCCTCGGATTCCCTCGCATAGCTCGCTCGGTTGCCTCGGATGCCCTCGCATAGCTTGTTCGGATGGCCTCGAATGCTCTCGGATGGCCTCGGATGCCCAGCGTGTTGGGACGTGCATGGCACATGCAATCTCTTGTAGCTCGCCGGGAAGACATGGCGACCTAGTAAGTCGCCCAAAAGGCATAGCGACCTACGGCCAACACTGTGTATTTCACCTTATTTGAGCAATTAATCTTGGGAGTGTTTTATCTCGTGAATTAATTTTTTCCAGAACATTATCTCGAAAGTTTTGCCAGTTATTAAATAAATAAAAATATATTATTTATATTTATTTAATTTAATTAACGAATAGTTTATCAAATATTTTATTCATTTACGCATCTAAGTTTTCCTTCTTCGAGTCATTGACCATTAATATTACTCACTATAAATATTTTTAACGTAAATCATATATTTAATCACATGTTTTTATGATATTATTTTGATCATTTATCTTTTAAAAATTATATTTATTTTAATTTTATTTTGATAATTTAAAGTTAAAAGTAAATAAAATTATTATAATTGATCACCCAATTATTTTGAGGAATCTCGTTTAATGACTTGCTTATTCATATGGTTTCATTTGGATGGTTTAACTATTATTTTTAATTCTATAATATAGTCCCAAAATAAAACAAATATGTTTGATCTTGGATTTCTTTCTATGGTAAGTCGAAAACGCAAAGCTAAGTGGGAAAAAAAATATCTCTATTCCTCCACTGCCTCTTCTCTCTCTATTGAGCTATCCCATCAGCTTCTATCATTGAGAAAAGAGGGGGGAAAGAGAGTTCAGACGGTGGCACCGGGCCCTCTTATTCATCGCTCCGGTTTATTTTCCAGCGATTCTTTCTTTGCTATATATGTCTTTCCTAACAAAGGTCGCTTCGTTCCCACGGCAATTCCCATTTTGACACATACCCCAAGAAAAGCTTCTTCATATATATTTTTGGTTTACCGTTTGTGAACTCTGGTGGAACTGAAAGGAACCCAATCGTGCTTCCGATCACCCCTCTCTGTAATCTTAGCAGATTGGTGGAGTTTCGAATCTGGAAAAGGTAGCGGAGGAGAGGATTTGCTGTATTAAAATGCTTTGGGTTATACGATTCTCTGGGTTCTTTTCAGCTGCACTAGTGATGATTGTTCTATCTCCTTCCCTCCAGTCGTTTCCTCCAGCTGAAGCTATTAGATCATCCCGCCTCGACAGTTACCTCCGGTTACCTTCATTTCAGGTCTATACATCACCGGACGATCGGTTCACTTTCCGAAAGGCTTTCCGATTTCGCAATAACGACGAATGTGGCTTCGCTGACCCCAAAACCACTGGAGTCTGCGATCCTTCTTTGGTGCACGTGGCTATAACCCTCGATGTGCAGTACCTCCGTGGGTCAATCGCCGCCGTTCACTCCATTCTCCAGCACTCGTTGTGTCCGGAGAACATTTTCTTCCATTTCCTCGTCTCGGAGACCGATTTAGAAACCCTAGTTCGATCCACTTTCCCTCAGTTGAAGTTCAAGGTTTATTATTTCGACCCCGAGATTGTGCGGAACCTGATATCGTCTTCGGTTAGACAAGCTCTTGAACAGCCGTTAAATTACGCTAGGAATTACTTGGCCGCTCTCCTAGAGCCGTGCGTCCGGAGAGTGATTTATTTGGACTCCGATCTCATCGTCGTTGACGATATCTCTAAGCTGTGGAGTACCAATCTGGGTTCACGAACAATCGGAGCACCCGAGTATTGCCATGCCAACTTCACAAAATATTTCACAAACAGTTTCTGGTCGGACGATCGGTTTTCAGGGACTTTCAGGGGAAGGAAGCCATGCTATTTTAACACGGGAGTGATGGTGATAGATCTGGCGAAATGGAGACGGGTCAGGTTCACTAAGCGGATCGAAAGGTGGATGGAGATCCAGAAAAGCGACCGGATCTACGAGCTGGGTTCCTTGCCGCCGTTCTTGCTGGTTTTTGCCGGCCGCGTGGCACCCATTGGGCACAGATGGAACCAGCACGGTTTGGGTGGGGACAACGTGAGGGGAAGTTGTCGAGACTTGCATCCCGGTCCCGTTAGCCTCTTGCATTGGTCCGGTAGCGGTAAGCCATGGCTCAGAATGGATTCCAAAAAGCCGTGTCCGCTCGACGCATTATGGGCACCCTATGATTTGTACGGCCACCCACATTGAAGACCTAGTCGAGTTTAGTCGCCGGTAAGTTCCCACTTTTCCAATTTGTCATTTCATCCATCTTCTTAACTCATTTATCAATCAGTTTCGTATTCTGTTTTTTTCTTGCTTCTGAATTTTATTAAAACCAAAGGAGTATTTCTCATTGAGTTGTGCGTTAGATTGGTGCTGTAATTTTAGAGTTTTAGTTGCTTTCTCGGTTCTCAACAGAAACCAAAGTTTATCCCTTCCGTGAAGTAGTGCACTTGGTAATAGTCTTTTAACACGGACTCTGCACTGCTCCATCAAGCATATTTTTTCCCCCATTGAATTGGATCAAAATATGATCGAAAGATATGAAAATTCAGAAATAAAATCAGCCGAATTTAATGTTGTTGTAGGTGGAGTTGCAATGAAGAAGACAATTGACATGTGATGGAGTGGAAAAAGAAGGGCATTTGATTACTTCTTAATATCCAACTAAAAAGGGCCAAATTGAAACAGGGGTAGGGAACAAATTATAGGGCATTGGAATGATGGTTATGGATAAAGCCAGCCTGTTGCTTGCTTGGTTGGTTGATGGATTTTCATTTTGGTGGCAGCGGTGGAAGTCTTGTGAGCAACCGACCTCTGCCCCCACACTGTTCCTTTGCGCACTTTGGCTGCAAATCACATATTCTTCTCCCCCTTTAGCGTTGGATTCTTGTGTTTATTTCCTGGTAATTTTCATTATTTTTAAGATCTCCGAATAAAGAGATGCATACGACACTGTTATTTTATCCAGCAAATAAATTATTATAATGTGGGGTTTGGTTAAAAGAAGCTCATTTATCTTAAACATGGTGGCATCGGAAGAGGGACCCGTATGTCATTGTTACGTAGGAAATGTCCAAAGTTTTTTTTTGCGCTGCCCTTCACACGTGGCCAGCTGGTTTTTTATCTTTGTAGAATCAAACAGCCCTACGATTTTGATCCGTTCGTCTTCAATCTTAATTTTGTAGCTTAACTGGTACATATATGATTTAATTTATTTAGTTTTAAATGGACGTAGCAGCAGATGCTGCGGACCTACATAGTTTTCTCCTGACGCTGACAGCTTTTGACTCCATTGTTCTAATCATTACCTAATCCTGTTGGTTTTTAATCATTAGGTTAGGTTTTGTGATTCTAGGAGGTGGCTGTTGCCGCCGGCGAAATCTGTTATTTTTATGCATGCTTGTAAAAAAAAAAGACGTGGATGCTTCTAGTACATTCATGGATGGATAAGGGGTCAATTTTTCTCTTGAAAATTCCATAATTCTATATAATTTAGATAAATTTTTTTTAAAGATTTTTTAAGTTAATCTCATATTATAAAGTCGTGTTTGTTTTTGGGTATGCTCTAGAGTAGGTTATTCATGTAGGTAAAATGAAAATTTGCTTGGTGGCAGATCGTGTGATATGCAGATTTTTTGGGGGACTAAAATGGCACCCTGTTCAAAAATGTTATTTTTGGCATTCCCGGAAAGAATACATCTTACAAGGGTATCCTTAGAATGAAATATGTGTCGAGCTCAAGCTGGATCCAGAAAGCCAACGACATTGGATGGTCCCCTGAAGCTTAACTCTGCTGTGCTAACTGCGTGCAAAATTAGATTTTTACCAGAAAAAGAAAGCTCCAACTTCATATGTATGGGAGTAGGGCATTATGCCAAGCATCTTAAGCTTTTAAAATCATGTTATAGTTAAGACAGTATCAGTTTTGGTGGTTACGTAAAAGAGGACAGAAAAACTGGGTTCTATTCTTCGGCCAGAAAGTGTCAAAAGCAGAGAGACATGTTTGTTTTCAGGTTCTAAAACCATTGATAAGTCGACTGTAGCATGTGGTGGGGAGGGGGAAAAGTCACGAAAATAGAATAAAAAAGGGGTAGATGTAAAATGAGTGTTGAAGGCCCTGAGAACCTTTACAGCTAGAAATAGCTAATGAGTTAAGAAGGGGACCATCAACGATCATTGGTCCACCACCTTCTTCCACTACTGCAAAAACAATTACAAGCTTCCCTGCCTAATCTGGAATCAAATTCTAATGAATGGTGTTTGACTTAGAAGCAAAGGTAAATTTCAAAGCAGCCTTAGAATTTATTGAATCTATACACTGCCATAGATGTGTAAACAGGATAAAGCTAAGCTCTGAGCTCCTCTCTTGTGGGGATAATACGCCTTGCGTTATTATTTCTCTCATGGAGTCAATGTACCATAAAATATTCCTTGTGAAATGGAGAGAAAAACATGCCATTTAGAAATTTGTACAAGAGAATGGATCCGACATTCATGTGGAATCAGGTCAGCCAAGCCATGGGAGTTCCTGAGCTCAGTGGAGCCATTGAAAAGCATTGGCAATGCAATAAAACAGAATATAAGACAAGTGGATGGGCAAGCATACAATGGAAAGAAAGCTTTCAGTAAGATAAATGAGAATAAGTGCCGATCGAGCTTTATCATTAAACAATGATGTGGGGCTTCACAAAAGACAAAAAGAAAAAAAAAACTTTGGAGGGACTAAGGATGGCTTTTCTGTTTTATGTTAATTGAGTTAATAAGACAAAGATCGATCACAATGCTGGATTTTCCAAGAGGTTTGCAATTTAACACAGTCCAAGCAGGCAGTTCAGAGATGTTGTAATTCATGCTCATTCCATGCAATACATGTGCCTGACTGCCTGTGGCTGCCACACCTGCAGCGCTACAGTCTTTCACCTGATGCTCTTCTTATACCTTTTGACAACAGAACTGCTGAAGCTTCGGAGTAGGCTGATATAAAACGACTGACAGTTCCGAATCCATTGCCGTGTGGAGATAACTGTGGAGTTAGCATAAACTGGCACATATTATCCTATTTCAAAAATAGTTGGAGAGCAAGGATCACAAATTTTAACTCGGGTGAATCGAGCTTTGAAGATCGGTTCGCAGCCATTGAATTGGATAACGCTGTACCAGGGCTTCGAACATTTGCTCTTCTATTGTTAATGAAGTACTAATAAGCTTTTAAATTGCTTGCCTTTTAACTACTGCAAATTCATTTTTTCAATTGCTCTCTGTCGCAATAGCTGTTTAGCCTTTGGTTACCCTTGAACTTTAGCATTGAACTTTTGGTGCATATAGTATATAGAAATGTTTTTTTAGTATAACTAATGTTTCTTAGTTGCACTAGAATTCACTCCATATATACAATTATTCATCCATTTGATTGCAGTATAAAGAATAAAGAGAAGATATGTACTATGCCAAATTGCCATTTGCCAGGCAGTGTTCCATAATACCAAAAGAAAAAAGAAATTGCTGCAATATGAAGAACAAATCATGATGTCCAGAGCTTCAAAAGGTCAGTAAAAAATCGAAATGGAGAAGTCTATCTATGCTAAACTAGCTTCTTGTTAAGCTGAAGAAACAACAAAATGCACCTTTGAAAGAAAAAATAATAATCTAGCTTTGTGTCAAACCGAAGTAATTAGAACTGCAGGGGAGGTACCCACCCATGTTAGATTGAAGTCCAACAAGTGCAACCTCCTCTTGCTGCAAATAACATATAGTCAAAAAAACTTTGAATCAGTAATCGTAAAAACGAAACTAACAGCCATATATTAGTGACTAATATTTTAAGCTAACCTATTCAAAAGGTGCATGAAAGAAGTTGACATACCAAAAACGAGGTATCATAGATCATTCCGCCAGCAGCCGAAAATAGATTCGAAAGCTCCGTGACGCTCCCTGCAGTACTGTACAGATTTTCTTCCATTGAGATGGCAACACCATCACTAGAAGGAAAATCATTCTGGTATAACAAGTTCGACCGAGAGGGATCATACAAGGAGGCATCGATTCGAGGACTGTGACTTGATTGGGAAACAATATATGAGTCGAAAACATTGCTCCCTCTATCAACATGACTTGGAACTGTACTTAAAACATGCCCATTTGCAAGATTTTGATGTGGAAGTTGATATGCAGAAGTGGTTGTGGTTGTGGGTGTGGGTTGGAATTGTTGGTAGGCATTGAGATCTCGGTTACCAGCCGATCTTGCACTTTCTTTCTGAAGATGCATGCGATATTTCTGCAACATGTAATTGCTATATGACTGTTTTATACAGGATTTGTAATAGTGCATATAAGATGTGTTAATATATTGCACCTGAAGATGACTTGCAATATTCTCTCTTGTAAGAATAGTAACATTCATAGCTTGCATAAGCTCCAAAATTTTCTTCGGAACATCATCTGCAATAACATGGTCACGTCAAAACAAAGCATTTTCTTTAGGAATATTTTTTAAGTACATGGCTAGAATAGTTCATACTGCCATCTCCAAGTTGATTCACAGCAGTAACAAACAACTCATGGAGCTCTTGTGTCCAAACCACCCTCGGTTTCTTCCAGGTCGTCTCTTCGTTGGAGGATTCTCCATCATTAGATCCGTCTTCGCTCTTCCGTTTCAGGCTTCTTTTATCTATTGTCGGGACGATTCGATTAGTGGAAGCGGTGGTATCATTAGACAGCTGTAGTAGGCTTAACCTGTCAATGTTAATGTTGTCAATGCTAGGCTTCTGAAATTGTGCAAGAAAACGTATCTTCTTGCGAACCACATGCTGCCAAATGAGACTAATAGCTTCCATGCGAACTGGTTTCACCAAATAATCACAAGCTCCTTTGAGTATACCCTTCATAATAACTCCATGTCTTTCGTCCGAAGATATCACTGCGTAAACATAAACACACAGATTAAGTTGAAAAAAACATAGAATGGTCAAAATTAATTGCATTTATTTTGTAACTTACCAACGACCGGCAAGTCCATCTCTGAAACAATGGTCTTAATAAGCTTGAGTCCATCAATGTCACGCATATGTGAATCACATATTACAATATCAAATCTGTTGTTTTTCTCTCTAAGCAAAGCAAGTGCATCACTCCCGTGCTGACACTTGGTAACTGAAATTCACCATGTCAGGTCATAAAATCATCAGAACCCTAAAAATTACTATGATTTTCACTCACATGAACCCTAAAGGATCTGTCTTTATGAATTGACTAATCAATCATCGAATCCATCGTTTTGGGTTCAGGAAAAATAAAACCAAAAATCAATTTTCTGGATTGAAAACTTAAACCATCAAACAATAAACCAAAACAAAGAGTAATGAATTCGTTAACCGACAGAAAGACGTAACATGCCTTGATATAATAACTTTCGAAGCATTCTTTCCAGTACTAGGAGAGATGTTTTATCATAATCAACTACGAGAACCTTCAAATCAGATGGGAATTCAGCAACACCATTGTCATCAACGATGCTCATTGCACGACTTCTTTTATGAATTAATGGAACAAAAACGAAGCTGGTGGCTAAACTTTTTATCCACTTTACATCTCTTGTAGGATATGTTTTTTTTTTCTCTTTTTGTATCCAAACTATTTACGAGTAAGGCAGGGAGAGAGCGAGAGTGTAGGGTTTTTCGTTAGTTTGTTTTGTTTGTTAAGTTTTGGAGAAATTTACACGTTGAAAAGATCTAGCTTCTTTCTCTTTCCTTTTACCATTAGATTCAAAGCAGGTGTATTTTCTTCATTTATTATTTTCAATTAGTATTTATTCACTATTTTAATTATAATGGCAAGTATTAGTAATTAACATCAGCTCGATTTACTCTCCAACTTCTACCATAGTATTAAATTACTGTCGTAATGTAGCGTAGCTGTCACAACGTAGTATTTTAAAGATAAATTACGTCGTAACACTTCCAACATCCATAATCATACTATAACGATCACACCAACACCACAACTGTAATTTAGAAATATTTCTTCCACTAATACTCCTTAAGATAATCAATGTTATTTGTTTCTGTAGATATATATTCAGGTAATATGATTTGAATAACTCGTGGATTGAAATATTAGATTTACTAGTCATCGTGAACTCACGTATAAACTTTTGGATATCTATTGTTCGAATTAATTTTTAGTATGAATCGGATAGTTGGATATTTAATATTTTAAATTTAATATTCATTATCTATTTAATTCTTGTTTAATCTTAAATTTTATCTTAAAAATAATTTAGTTCAATATTTAACTAACACATTATTAAAAATATAATAAATAAATTTTAAATTGAAGTTTTTCAACGAAGAAGAAATTACATCTAAAATTCGTCCAATTGCTAAGTCGTAGGAGATCGTTGATTCTCTCCACGAAAGACGAGCGCCCCTTATATAGAATGAGCAAAATCCTGTTACCCTTATGATGATCGTCTATATTTTTTAAACAAGTGCAACTTTTTTATTAATAAATTTAATATTTACCATCCAGTTAAAAATTTTAAATTAAATTTATTAATATACAATGTAAGAATCGATGTTTTGTGATGGTTTATCTCGTTTAATTTAGACGTAAAACTGTATATATTAACAATAAAAATCCAATGCATGATAAATTCTAAGTAGTAAAAAGATGTTTAGTTTGAACACTTAGGAAAAGAGAGAAAACGTTGCCATTGATACATTCAGCCACAAGGCCTGTTCAATAATTGGTAAATTTAATTTATATTTCCGACTCCTTTATTAACCAAAATCCTTTTTATTTTTTAGTTTTAAGAGTCATGAACACTTTGAGTTCGGAAAGATAAAAGTGTTCAAACTGAAATTTAAATATGTTTTTTTTTAATAAATTTTTAAAAATTTATCTAAATAAAAATCATTGTAAACAGATTTAATTAAAAAATCTATACAAAAATTTAATGATTATCTCAAATTTTGAAATAGGTTGTGTCGTTGGTAACTCTAAAAAGCTTATACCGAACTCGCCGAGAATCTTTGAATTGAATTTTTTACGGTTCTCTCTCTCTCTCTCTTAGTTGAGAAACAAACAACGGTATTTTTCCCAATACCTCATGCGGTCAATTATTTAGGATATTGGACCAACATAGAAATTTTGTAATGAATGGATCCTACGGGGGCGATTGAATTATTAATTTTAATGGGATTTGTCACATCGAAGTGATGAATCTATTAAAAAAATATTTTGTTAAAAAATTTAATTTAAAAATTTAAAAAAAAATAAGAGAAACTCGTCAATTCAACGTGATAAGTTGACGAGTCTCTTTGAATTAAAAAAAATAGTTGTTTCAAGTCATTTATCAACAGTAATATGAAACTCGTCACCTTGAAGTGACGACTGACGAGTTACACCGGCTAAAATTTAAAAAATTAATTAATTAAGAAAAATTTTAAAATTTTTATTAAGATAAAATTGTTTACAAAGTAAAAAATTATTTACAATCTAATAAAATTTATTTATATTTCCTTAGTTCTTACTGATGCCGAAGAGTTATCGAATGATAATGCCGCGGGGCTCGTCGAGTACGTCAGGATCGTCTGCCTTGATCGTCATCGTCATTATCGGCTGCATCTTGGGTTGATTGCTGAAAAATTGAGGTATACTCAACACACTCTCAGACGCACCTTTGAAATATGGGGATGAGTTTATGGTGTTTGACACCATCATAGTAGTTACTGATTTGACTTGGCGACTTCGTTGACTATATACGAAGTTATCCCATTCACCCTGACCCGCATCTTCCTGTACCATAGATGTGTGTTGGATTGCATCCCATGAATATTCAACCCAAGTCGGCTGAGTCGCGTCTGAAGTATGATAAGAGGTATGAAAACCAAAACTAGCATGAGATGCATGGTAATAATCTTCAGCGGCAGATGCTAAAGAAGATGAAGATGTCGATAATTTCTTCTTGGGCTTGGACTTGAGAAATCTGGCCTGATATTAATCTCATTCTTCCCTCTGTTCTGTTGTCGTGTGATATGGTTTTCCATTTCCTTCGTAATTTATGAGATAGGGAGAATGGTCGAAATCAAGGTCCAACGATGTAATCTCGTAATGCAGGGGGAGCGATAGGTGACGCTAATTCCAATGCTCGATGTAGGCAGCGTACCTCGTTGGCCAATCTTTTGAATGTTTCCCATGCATATCGATTCTATGGTGTGCATCCATTTCAACGATATCCGCGGGAGTCGACTGATGCGACGCAAATTGTCACAGCACTCTATCAGCTTCGTGCCACTCCACAATCGCAAAGTGTAGTAACGACGTCACGACACACTATAACTCAGACCCCTCAAAAAAATCCTACGATAATAACCGGTGGATCTCTTCATCAATATACGGAAGGAAAGAAAATTGTAAATATTAAATATCAAAGTTAATATATATAAAGTTTAATTTTTTTTAAAGAATAATAAAAGAAGAATTGTATATAGCATATTAACCGAAGATGTCGATCCTCATCCATACATCTTTTTACTGTGGCACCCGACAACTTCATATCGATTATTTTATGACGCCATATAAAATATTTAAAAATTAAAAACTAGAGTAAAAAATTAATTAAAATTATCAAATTTAAAATATAATGTTAGAAATTTACCTTCCGACAAGAAGAAACTCGAGGGGAACTGTTGTAATCGACATAAAAATGGGAACCGATACCATGCCCAGGATTGTAGCAGTATTAGACAACCTGCTACGTCAGCTTTTCGACCATGCTCGACAATAGATGCCTTGCAAAGCTCCCAGTATAGAAATGCTAAAAACGTCAAGCCCCAACTGATTTTGTGACACTTACCAAAGTCATCTAATATTTATAAATATTGCATATGTGCCAAATTATCGGATTTATCCGATAATAATATCCCTCCGATAAGTTGGAGAATATATGCTCGGGACACAAAATAGCCTCGTTCTCGGTAGAGTCCCTCGTTACTTCGAATTCAGACTCCAACTACGTCATTCTTACCCGATACACCAATGTCGAGGGGTCGTAAATATTCTGCTTCACCAATGGGTCTCCATTAATAAGAACACCGAGTTGGTAAGCGACGTCTTCTAAGGTAATCGTTGCTTCATCACTCAAGAAATGGAAAGTGTGTGTCTAGGGCCTCCAACGTTCGATTGGAGCCTCGATCAATGTCGAGTACACCTTGGAGCCATGTAGAAATATGGTTGAATAAAGACCGGATTGTTGAATATATATCAACATCCGTTTATACGGATATTTCGAAGTTATCCCGCGCTGATGAATACTCCCTTTTCCTTCCCATGAGACTTTGATTGATGAAACATGGACGTTGTCGATGCGTAACATCTTTGTTCGGGAAGCCATTTTTTGGGATTTTACACATAAAGTCAAATTTTTTCTCAATTGTTCTTGGATTCATGGTTTAATGAGAAATCAAAACCCCAAATCCCTATTTATACCTAAATTCCAACGGTTATAATTTTTTTTTACATTGTGGAACTCGTCCACATGACTATTGACAAACGACTATTTTTTAATTCAAAGGGGCTCGTCAACTCGAGGTGACGAGTGCCTCTTTTTTTAATTTTCTAAATTAATTTTTTTAATAAAAAAATATTTCTTTAATCGACTCATCACGTTGAGATGACGAGTCCCAATAAAACTAATAATTTAATGGCTTATGTGGGACCCACCCATTACAAAAATATATTTAATGGAACTCGTCACTTTGAGAGGACGAGTTTGTTGTGAACTGTAGAGAATGTCGTAGTTCCCAAAATAATTTCCATGTTGGCCCAATATCCTAAATAATTGACCCGCTTGGGGCATTGGGCCAAAAAAACCCACAAACAACAGGCGTCAAGATGGGCCTGCGTTCCACGTAGATCTGATATGGGCCTTGATTCGGTCATTCGGAGCTTACTTTGGATCTAAATAAATATACATATATTTTTTAGCTCTTTGCTGTGCTTCCTGGAAATTTAATACTAATCTTACCTTTTTCTTACAAAAAAGTATAAATAAATAAACAGCAAAAGCAAAAGTACAAAAACAGCCACGGTCGGCACCCACAGGAACCTCAATTTGCGATAAAAACCCATAGAATGACGTGATATACACAAAGGAACAAATGAATTAAAATGATGCATAGATAAGATATTAATTATCATAAATTAATATTTTTACGATTTGAAATAATTCTAAGATAGTATTTATTTAAACTTTTTCTTAATTATAGATAGTATATTCATCCTATAAATATAATCATTCCACTTAAAATTTTATTAGAAAATAACACCTCTTATTATTATTGTTCAATGAATTTAATTGATAAATATTATTATAAAATAATTTTGAATTGTTTTCAACATAAAAATAAAATAAATAAATTTAGAATTGAATGATTATTTTTAGATTTATTTGGGATGTCCTAATTTATTTTATTTTGGATTTTGGGTTCAGTCCTACTTTTACATGTTGGTGGCTGG